TTGTTGGATGGGCTGTAAAAGAACCAAGTCTGGCCTGAATGAGAGCTAGTTCAGACATAGGAAAAGGAATATGAACGCGGACAATTCCTTCAGCTCCAGCTACTTCGCGCAAGGGTGCCATCGTGTGGCCCTTGTGTGTCTTGGAGCGGGTGAGAGGTGGAGCATAGTGGGGGTGGTCGGTGAGTCAGAAGAAATGGGAGGGGTAGGAGATTCTGGAGGAGGGGAGGAATTGGATGGTGTAGGAGGAGGGGTGAGTGGGTTTCTGGCCGTCCAGTATGGGGGAGGGTCATCTGCCGGGTCTGGTTGAGTGGAGGAGTCAGAAGGAGGGGGGTTGGGGGTGGAAAGACCTTGGGTCAGCAGAAGTATTGGAGCAGTTTTGGTGGTGGAACAGAGAGAGGGCTGATTAGCAAGATAGGAAAAACCCTGGACATATGGGATCTCCGACCATTTTCCTTGTCGCTCACATAAGTTGTAAAGGTCTCTAATTAGACCCGATTCAAAGGAGCCATTAGGCGGCCAGACGTTTTGATTGCCTAATTTATATTGGGGCCAAATTTGAGTAGACAAGCGAATTAGCCATTTGGGTTTTAAATCAAGACCCTCCAAATTCCTGAGTAAGCATCCCAAAGGAGAGTCGGCGGGTATAGAGGAACCAGAGCCCATGACCACTAGGACAGGAGGTTATCAGAAGACCAGACGTCTCCGAGAGTTCTGATAAAACTCCTCTTTTTCTAGACCCAGTCTAGAAAGCTGAAATTCAGTCTCCCGCGAAGGCGTCCCTTTCACGAGATAGGAATTTATGCGAACTAAGTCCCGGACTTAGTTCAGTTGAGTCCCGGACTCAACGGAGGCAAACCCGGTTTGCCAAAACTGAGGGACAGAGGACCTGGGCCCTGGCCTTGTCCCGGACGTGGTCCTAGTGGGTGGTCTGGAGTCTGGGGTCCCCGCTACCCTGAGGACTTCTCAGAAAGGAGAACTTACCCAAAAAGGTGTGGGTCGGAAGATCAGTAGGTCGGTGATGGCTGCCAAGATGGCGACGAGGAGAATGGTCAAGGATGTCGGGCGGAGGTCGAATAGGGACGCCCTGGAATCTGGGTTTCAGGCCCCAGGCGTTTAGCCCGTGGGCCTGGCAATCCCAGATCCCGCTTCTGACACCAATGAAAGGGGTCTCGAGCCCCCTTTGGGCGCCCCCTCCCAATCAGGTCACTCACAAACCGAGAGGTCCAGCAGGAGATCTTTATTGAAGGGAGTCAGGCAAGGTACAAAGGCCGGGAGGTGAAGAAAAGGAGGCGGGAAGGCAGAGAGAGAGAGAGAGAGAGAGAGAGAGGGAGGGGAGGAAGAAGAAGCAGAAGAAGAGAGAAGAACAAAGAAAGGAAGGTCCTTTTATCAGTTTTGGGGTGGGCTATTGCTTATTTATGAGGAGTGGGTTACTTTTAACCTATCACAGGCCAGGTTGCTTTTATGGGCCCAGTCCTGCAGACACAGGTTTCAACTTTCCTGGACCACTGTGGCCTTGCGGGGGAGGGAAACCAGAGATAAGGGCATGAGGTCATTTTAGGAGCCAAGATGTACCAGGAGAATGCAGCCTGTGAGGCGGCATCACAGCATACTTTAACATGATCAATTCCCTAACAGATTCACCAACTCTCACCTGGGAAAAGAATTTTCAGGATGCGTCAGTAAAAGAGGCATGAGGAGGATTTATTAGAGTAGAGATAGGAGGCACTCAAGAGCAGAGTACAAGGGCCCAAAGAAGATACAATTGGGAACTGGGTCTTTTATGTGTTTTGAGAGGTGGAAATCTACAGAATGCGATAATTTTTAGTGTCAGTATCAGACTTGGCCTTAGAGGATGTGAGAGGAGATCTCAGCTCAGCTGGTAAGTTATTCCTGTGGGAAATGTCAAAAGGGTGGTCCTTCAGGGGTGAAAGAGAGCCATTTGCAAGTAAAAGGGGATGGACAGGTCCATTTGCAGCTGAAAGGGTGTTGCTCAGGTTTGCCTTTTCTAAGGAAAAGGAAAAAAAGTAAGTCAGGCTTGTATTTTGAACCTGTGGGTTTTTGTTTTTTTTTTTAAGTACAATTTTTTAAAGTTTTGATTTCTTGGTCTCCTTTCAGCCTAACTTTATTTCTTATATCCTACCTCAAAATGGGCATCGAAATTGCCTATTGTAAGCCCTGCCAGACCACAAAGTTTCATTGAAAATGGACAAAAGGGCAAATGCTGCTGGTAGACTTCTCTACCAGGCAAAATGTTCCCAAAGGTCCTACATTCTAAAATGGCTCCTGTTCCTAAAATGGTTCCTGCTTACAGAAATGAGCCACTTGGTGGTGGTGGTGGGGTGAGACCTACCTTCTCTGGAGAAGCAAAACCTAACTTGTTGCTCTACCCTGCTACCCTCATGGTGCTCCCCTTCCAATCACCTGGTATCTGGTTGCATACCAAGCAACCCATCCAATTCTCAGCTCTCATGATACTCTCCCCACTGCACTACTACGTAGACCAAACCTCAGTTAGTCTGCTCTCTCTCTCTCTGTTGTTTGATGCAGCCCAGCAGCTCTTTCCTCCAATAAAGCCTTGCCTCGGATGCTCCTGTTTCAGGTCATTTTCTTTTAGCTGCCCTTTTCTTTTAGCCTCACATTTTTTTGTGTGTGGATTAGCTCAAAGATTGCAAAGTCTCCAAGAGCCCACATTCTTGGGCTAGGAGTCATTTCCCTCTAAACATACCTGAAGGTATGACCAGATTTATTTGCCAGAGGTATAGCTATTACTCAGAATTTTAGCTCCAGCTGGGAGTGGTGGCAAATGCCTATAATCCCAACAGTCTGGGAGGCTGAGGCAAGAGGATCATGTTTGAACGCAGCCTGGGCAATTTAGCAGCTTAGCAACACCATGTCTCAAAAAAACAATTTTTTTAAACTCTGGTCATATATTTCAGTCCAAAGGGAATAGGTACAATCCTCAGTACCCCCCACCAGCCCCACAAAGTATAGCTCCAAGGTTTGATTGGTACTGTACTTGGCGTGCATAACTAAAAATGTCAGAGGGACAAATAACACAGCAGACATAGCATGTGAAACCTGTCTACCCTCCTGTAGAGCACAGACTACATATAAGAGAATACAGAACAGCTGGCTTTAAATTTGAGGGAGAATGCTGTTTGCCTTTTCATGTTATTTATTTACTTGCCCTAGACTTTGAATTCTAGTGGAAGTAATCATGATGTCAACAGTCATTGAAAAGGGGCTAAAAGGTGGTTTTGTCCTGTCTTTCCTCTCTAGCTCACTTGGCCACATTCCCTCAAAAATAAGCGTTCGTGTCTGTGCAAGTGCCCTGGTGCCAGGCGGTTGAGCTGCGATTACTCACTACCCTGTAGCAGTCTGGTGGGCCTCTCATACCTGCATGCAAAACAGAGCAGTCTCCCTTCTTCTGACATCTTCTCTCCACCCTTGGCTTCATCATTAACAGAGGACAAGGCCAAAGCTGGGTAGATGACAGAAAATGAAAGTGATCATTTCTAGGTAGAAGACTAATAGATGAAATGCAAGGACCTAGGAAAGAAAAAAAATCCCAACCCTCTTTGAGGGTGAGCAGTCACCTTTCAGCTCCTTGGGTAACTGCCATTGCCTTGGTTAAAAGCTCAGCATAGCTGCTGTAGGCTCATTAGAACATAATAGTAAACACTGTTGTTTTATAGTTAAAGTATATTGAGTGCCTAGCATATAGTACATATGCAGCCATTTATGAGCCAGACTTACATGTTGAGCACATTTGTTGCAGTCACTGTGCTAAGCCCTTTGAATGCATTCACTGACTAATTTCGTGCTCACAGTGACCCTGTAAGGTCAGCCCTGTTTTGTTTTTTTGTTTTTATTTTTGTTTTGTTTGGTTTTTTGTGCCAGGGTCTCACTATGTAGTTGAGACTGACCTGGAACTCACTATGTAGCCCAGGCTGGTCTCGAACTCACAGTGATCCTCCTGCCTCAGCCTCCCGAGTGCTGGGATTACAGGCGTGCACCACCACGCCCAGCATCAGCCCTGTTATTCCCTTCTTTAGCTATGGAGACCAGTGTTCAGAGTGGTTGGTACCCTGACCAGGTCACGAACAGTAAGTGGCATCTCAGAATTCAGGCAACTCTGGGAGACTCCAGAGCCTGTGAACAGTGGCATGCAGAATGAATGGGGCCAAGAGCTTTTCCAGGGGAAGAGCTGAGGAGACTGTTAGTTCCAGTGACCTGAGAGTGGATCCTTTCTGTTGGTTAGATGGCCTTAGTAGGTGTCTGTAGAAGGAAGCTGAACCCTGGTGTTTCTCATTGGAAGGAGGCAGATCCAGAAAAAGCTAATCCTTATAGAGAAATTGTGTACAGTCATACATAAACTCACTACTTGGTGTAAACAACCTGTCTCTGGTGAATGGACTTGTTCAAGTCTCTAGACTTCAGTAAGCAATAAATTTTCTTAATTTTTTTTTTTTTTTTTTTTACTGAGGCAAACTTTGAAATAGATGCAAGAAAAATAAAGAGAAGGACTTTACTAACAGCACTCAAATATACTCGGTTTGGTACATTTTGAATCAACAAGAGTTAAAGACACCAGAAAGGAAATTTGAATGCATCCCCCCACCCCCTTCAGTACTTCTGAACTTTAGGGCTTCGCTAGCAATTACTTTAGATCCCTGGGGTCTGGGATTCAGCTTAGTGGTGCTGCTGCCTGCCTCACAAGTAAAAAGGTCCTGAATTCGATCCCTGCTACTGAAAAAACAAAAAAAAAGATTTTAGATCCCTGTGTCTTGTCTGGGTGAAGTTACTTGTAAACCAGTATGACATATGCCCCTGTCAGAAATGTTTACACCCATGACATGGAAATTTCTGAGTCTTCCTAATGGGGTGTGGAAAGTACATACGAAGTTGAGAAAGCTGTAACTTGTTTGGCTCCTGAAGATAATTGTCTAAAAAAAATGTGTTTTGTTTTTGTTTTGATTTCTGTTCTTTTCCTGCATCAGTCCACAGTTTGGAAAGAGCTGTTGTTAGCAACTATCGGGGAGCAGTTCACAGACTGCGCCGCAGCAGGTAAAGAACCCAGGCTCCGGCCATCTGTGACTCCTGTCTGTTTGGCCCCTGCTTGTTTCGTACAGAAGTTTGATTTTATGTGTTAGATTTTCTGCATGCTTTGAACATGTTCTTTTATGTGATTGTAGTGTTTAGTAGGGGATATATGTGTATATTTACATATGTGTATAGTCAACTCTTATCTGTGAGTTCTATACCCACAGATTCAACCAACCACAGATCGCAAATATTGTAAAAAACAGATTGTGTCTGGATTTAAACATGTACATATGTTTTTTCCTTGTCCTTATTCCCAAAACAATATGGTACAACAACTGTTTACATAGCATTTTTGTTGTTCAACCAATCACAGATCAAAAATATATATTTTATAAAACAATATGGTATAACAAATGTTTACGTAGTATTCATGTTGTATTAGGTTTTCTAAGAACAGTAAGTCCTCGACTTATACACGTTTGAGTTGCAAACTTTCACAGATTCAAGCAGACCTTGTATTATGAACATTCATAAATGTGAACGAATGGCAGAAGCAGCTCACGTGTGTGCCAGATGTTGTCACAGCTGTGCGGCTGTGCGCTCACTGCACCGTGTGACAGTCTGTGCTGTAGCTCAGTGCTCAGTCAGAGCCCAGGATTCCTGGAAGCAGGAGGAAAATCAGTGGTGAGGTGGAGGGGACTCCTAGGAAGCCCAAGCAGTAACTGTGGACACAAGGTGAAAATGATTGAGAGATTGGACCGAGGCAAAAAGATGGTAGATATTTCTCATTCTTATAATATGAATTGTTCAACCACTGGCTAAATTCTAAAGATCAAGGACAAGATCATGGAACATGTGACTTTTTTTTGTGCTTTACGTTGTATATTGTGTCAGAGGTATTTAAGACTCAACTGGGTAGGACATAAGAACAAATTCCACTTAGGAAAATTCTCCCAGAATGGAACTCGTTCCTAAATTGGAGAGTTAGTTTAATCTAAAGATGATTTAAGGTATAAGGACGGTTCTATGAAAATATTGCAGCATTTTTTATAAGAGACTTGAGCATCTATGAATTTTGGCGTGGAAGGGAGTACTCATAGATACCAAGGGTTAGCATAGTATACAGAGTCAGACAAAAAATGTATACATCAGGAAAAGAAAAGCTTGTATAAATATTTTAATACTACATTTATTGAGATAGCATGAGATTAATACAAGTTATCTTTGGCCTCTACAATTACAAGAGATGTTTAAAATTGTGGCCATGAGCTTCCAGACACTGATTAGTAGAGTGGACTCTATATAATACCTACATATATACATCTATACATATTTCATTTCTAATTCAGTATCATCCCAACCATCTAGAATGGCAGAAGGAAAGGGAGACTGCCATAGACAGGCTCCTTACACTATCGTGGCAGGTCTCCTCTGGCTGTTCCTCTCTTCCAGGAAGGGAAAGTGCCGTTCGTGTCCAGCAGAGCTGGAGGTAGGCAGGCATGTGTCCCTCTGTCCCTCCTCATCACCCGCCCTTCCTGCTGTTCATCTCCTGGTACGGTTGGGTTGAGAGGACCGTCATGGTAGGCAGAGACGTCCCACATCTGGGGAGAAAACAGTCCTGAGGACTTCTCTGCAGAGACTCTCTTCGAATACTGAGTGGACTTCTGAGAGCCCCTTTAAGCACTTTGCTGTGTTTTTGTTTTCAGTGCTGGAAAAAGAACCTAGGGCCTTGAGTGTGCTAAGCACTTGCTCCCATGCTGAGCCCCTCTGCCAGCTTCTCTAGAAGCACTTTTTGTTTGGCTTTGTGTTTAACATGAAACCACTCTAGGAGAAGTGAACTGCTATTTAAAGTTTTGATTTCTCCTAGGTTCCTCCTTCTGAATGCTTCTGAGGTAAAATTTAGAATAACTTTTCTTTTCTATTCAATTTTGTTAGGTTTTTTAAAAAAATTTACTCTTGTTGTTTATTTTTGCTAGTTGGTTGGATCAGTTGGCCTTTGACCTCTTAGCTGGGACTGTTTCCTTCCCAGTCCTGTGCAAGTTCACATTCATGTCTCTAGCATTTCTGTAGTTCCACTTTTTTTTGCTTATATCTTAAACCATTTATTATTCACTTATGACAAAGCTTAGGCTGAGATAAAATTGTCTTAAAAATGTAGAGTCTTTCTGCTTCACTAGGGAGTCATTAAAAACTTTATAAAATGTGACTCAAAATGTATCCTATATATACTAATAAACACATAAATCCCTAAAGAGGAAACGTTCTATATGATGATTTCTGTTTCCAGAGCTAGAGAAAATAGTATAAGTAATAATAAACATCCAGTATTGAGTCAAGAAGTCAATTGTTCTGTGGCTGACTTGGGAAGCTGACTATTAACTGTTAACCATTAGCTCTCCCATTAACTTGCTCTGCCCCTTGAAGCAAGTCATCTAATCTTCCTGAACCATTTTTCTGTCACCTTTAATGGCTCCTCCTGGCTCAACTGTCTTATGCTGCCTGTACCCAAAAGTAATCCATGTTTTGCTGATTGATTCCACTTATGAATATTGCATGTTTGCTGATGGACCTGCCTTTGTGTAAGAGCTGAGATCTTTTTACTGTGCCACTTGTGAAAGGGCTGTGCTCTTAGCAATGCCTTCTTAGCAAAAGCCAAGCCAAAGTGGAGAAATAGCAGTTTGGCATGTTCAGCAACCGTCAGTTACCTCGCCCACTGACCCCAAGGTCTCCTCTTTATGTGAAGATTTTATTTTTACATAACATTTTTCATTGAGCAAGTGTACTTTTTAAATATAAATTTAAAAATAAGAAACCTATACTTAAAACATTTTTTTCTTGATGGGATACTAAATTTCTGAAGTTGGCCATGATCAGATACAGTATGAGTCTTGTTGGGAACTTTTCATTTTTAGTGTGACACAGATACAGGAAAGTCTACACATGAGATGTGTAGGAATTTCTTAACACTGACAAAGTGAGTACTGTATATCCCTGTGACTAGCCCCCGGAATCTCCGTCTCCTTCCTTTCTTCCAAAGGCAGCTACCAATCCGACTTCTAGCACCCTAGTCTGATGCTGCCTGTTTTTTGACATTTATATAAGCAGAGTCCCTTAGCGTCAAGTCACACACATTTATCCAGGATCACATTCATTTAAAAAGGGCAGAAGGAAAAGAAGGAGAAGCGAGGAGGGGAGAATGGAAGAAAGAAGGAGTTGTTTCACTGGTGATGATTTGAGTAAATTAGATTTGCCCTTATTTAAATCATACTCTAACATCACAAATGCTTTAACCTCCAGAAGACCATTGGAAACACCGAGGGCATGAATATTTAGATTTATAGAGGTTAGCAAATTAGGCAAAGCACATTACCTGAAGCTAAATTTCCTAGTTTTGGTAATGCTCATCTTTCTCATCTTAATGAGTGATGCCAAGGGTGTGAGTGCAGAAAGCCGCCCCTGCCTCATTAATGCTTGGTGAAGGTGAAGGCACAGATCAAAGTCTAGACCCCCATTGGTTCTCTGCCCATGAGTATAAACAAAATTGCTACGGGGGCACAGGTAACAGGACAACAGGCCTAACTATCCAGGCACCATCCTCAAAAGTCTGCAAGGCAGCTCCAAATCTAGAATTTCATTTAAAAAAGCCTACATGAATCAGTACAGAAAAAGAGATAATAGATTCTGTAGTAAGCCTTACTCAAAAGATACATACTCTCACTGTAACCATGGTAGTAAAAGATGGTCATTGGTTCTCTAGCGGACAGTAATACAACCTGGAGGGGATTGTTAGAGGGAAGCACCAGGTTGCAGGAGGAATGAATAGGAAAGGAGCAGACACGCAAACCACAAAAAGTAGGTATGCACCTGGGAACACACACCGCGGGCTCTGTGAGTACTGGGGCAGAAGGCAGTAGCCGCCCAAGGTCTCCAAAAGCTTGACAGAAGTCAGGAGAAACTCTTACTGTTCTTGACAAAGACAGCCAGGCATCGAGGAAAAGTTCATTTAAGTTCACTTGGCTTTCAAAGGGCAGGGAATTATGCAACCCATTTTAGAAAAAGTCTCATCAAAACAGGGTAAGAAATAGAAAGCTTTGGTAACGTGTTTAAAAGGGTAAAATTACTTATCTGGAAAATGCATTTGGCTGGAACACTTTGTTTATCTAAATCCCGGGAGAAGTGTGATGTGAGTGCTACAGCTTTTTGCACTGATTTACTTTTTTCCAGTGGTTCGCCAGGGAAACCATTATTTATTACAGGTTTTCACGCCCCTGCCATCTCATCCAGAACTTCCAAATAAAATAAATAGCTGCTTAAAAATAATTAGACTTGAAATTGTCACTCATATCTTTTTATTTCCTGTCGTCCCCTCAGATGACGAAGTAATAGGAGTCAGCACCAGTGTTCGCGACCGTGAGGATGTCATCCAAGTCTGGAATGTAAATGCCTCGTTAGTGGGCGAAGCCACTGTTTTAGAAAAAATCTATGAACTTCTGCCTCACATATCTTTTAAAGCTGTATTTTATAAACGTAAGTGCTTCATTTCCAGTTATTACTTTCTAGCTTGTCCTGTCATACTTTAAAAACAGAAACTGTGTTGCAAAGGAAGTGAAGACAGAATCACTTAAAATTCTAGAATTCAGAAAATAACTAAATAAAACACATTTAAGTGTTTTATTAAGTTTATTACCAGAAATTAAAATGAGATTTTTTTTTTATTCTTGCCTAACCTTTTGTATCAGAATAGGAAATTCACATTGTATTTGTTATTTCCAAAATTTAAACCTGAATTTAAATTTGTCATTCCCAGAAAAAAAAATTACGTTCTGTTGGAAACAACAATAACAAAAATGTCATTGTGTGAGCTGGCAGGTAGATATTCAATCATCCCTTCATAAACAGGGATTTATAATGTGTAACCTCTGTATGTGCGGAGGAAACTCATTCAGAGCACAGGCATGATTGAATGTTCTACTGAAATGCTAATGCTTCCTTATTACTGATGCCTGTGACACAGAATCTAAAGAGAATTCACACATCGTGGTGAAATGCTAACAGTACGAATAGGTGTGTGGACCCATTGTTTCCATCATGATTCATGTTCATTGCTTTTGTGTGCTCTTTTGAAGAAAATCATCTTTTTCATAATGAAAACATATTACCATTATTAAACCAATGTTTGGTAGATCAAGCTGCAGGTTATACTTCTAATAGTTTCAGAAAAGGATTGACAATCCTTCACAGATGTGATAAATTTCCTATGTGCCAACTGTACCTGAAGTCATAAGTCCTTTTTTTAAAACTATGATATTTCATCAAATCTAAGATGTTCATGATGATAAGATGCCCCATTATTTTAGAATTACTAAGAGAGAGAAAAACAATTATTCCAAAAGTCTTCAAATATACAAGGAAGGTAGTGTGGGCAAGGATCGTCTTAGAATTGCTGAAATGCACTGCATTAATGTCTCACTTTTCTCAACTCCTTGCCAAAAAAGGATTTTAAAAATTTAGTTTTGTCTCGTGATTGCCCTACAATGGTAGCAGATATGAAGACTCAAACCCTCCTGTAAGAAATCACATGGTGACCGGCCAGCCAATGACTCAGGCTTTCCACAGACTGAGCTGGCCTATAGTTCTCAGAGGCACCAATCCTCTGAATTTTACAGCACTGCATATGCTGCCTATGGGGTGTGCAGTATGAAAATTGCAAATCGTAACTATAAAAGCTTTTCATATATACTGATGAAATAAGAAAACTCACTAAAGTAGACATTCATTTATGGAATAAATATTTTTGCATTTATTAAAAAAAAAGAAAATAGCAAATTTGTTGATCCATTTTTATTTTCTAGAGATCATTGTATTCACCCCAAACGTTAATTACGAAAGGAAATGTGACTCATTGACATTTGTAAGTGGGCTTTTGCTTACCCCTTTGGAAGGTAGTTCACACTTGACTCAAAGGAGGAGAAGTATAGTTGGATTCAATAAGTCAGGCACTCTGGATCTTTGTCCCTCTTCATTTTTGAGCATAGGTCACAATTTCCCATCCTTTACTTTCTCATCCTAACATTGAGGAAGTTGGTCTTCGATGATCTCCAAAGTTCCTTCTACTTAGGATTCTGTGAATACATTTGCATGGTACACATTGGCTAGCAGCAGCTCAGCAGGATGTTTTGTTAGATGATTCAACTACAGAGCAGTTAGGGTACTTTTGGGGGCCATGATAATCAGGTAGGACTGACCAAGGGTGGGATAATGATTCACCTCTTAGCTATTGTGATAGCTGGGGGAAAGAAAAAAAAAGCCAAATAGGTAAAAAGTTACAACTTGGCCTGTTGAATCAAGCTGAATAGACACCCTAAAGGTAGATGCCACTGTCAAATTTGTGAATAAGGTGACAGGTCTCAGTAGAAATCATATTTTAATGGTGCAAATTAACATTTCAAAACTTAAAGATTATTCGAGTTAAATTTTGAATTGGCAAAAGCAAGCCATTTTCCTTATTTTGCATAAAGCAGGCAGTCCTTTACTCAGCAGGGTTATGTACCATGTGCTGCAGAGTAATTTAGAGAAGTGTGGTCCGGGCAGAAATTTGTTTCACAGCATGATTTAGAAGTGGCCAACTCATGCTTTTGTTTTGTCTTGTTAACAGTATCCTGGTTTAAGTATTCAGAAGTTTATATAAGCTAGGTGACTGTAGATTTTCCATGGAGAAATAATTCTGGCATATTCAGTCATGCCATCCAGTGGATGGATAGGATTGGGCCATTAGAAATGATATGATTTCAATATGGATTGAACATTCGAGTGAGAAATTCACAGTATGTACACACACACACACACACACACACACACACACACACGCCAGTTCTATCAAGTTCTTCAGAGCAGCTGAATTACAAATGTCTTTCCCTATGTGTTATTTAGAAGAGGAGCTGGAAAGTCAGGAACCTTGAGCCAAATATGCCCCCTCTTCCTTTCACCCTTTCCCTCCTCACCTATTTATGTATGGGTGCAATAAAGAACAGTTTTTAAATATTTAAATAGTTGGGAAAAAATCAAGAGAAGAACTGTACATTGTGAAACAGGAAAACTACTTGGATGTCAAATTTCAGTGTCCAGGCGGGGCGTGGTGGTGTACCCCTGTAATCCCAGCACTCAGGAGGATGAGGCAGGAGGATTGCTGTGAGTTTGAGACCGGCCTGGGCTACAAAGTGAGTTCTAGGTCAGTCTCAACTATACAGTGAGACCCTGTCTCAAAAAACCAAATATCAGTGTCCATAAATAGTTGTGTTTTTTTTTTTTCTTTTGATGGTTGGGATGGAACCCAAGGCCTCATACATACAAGACAAATGCTCTATCACTGAGCTACGTTCCTAGCCCCATTGATTTACACAGATGCCCACTTGAATTCATATTTTCTGTATCTGCCTTATAGCTGCAACTCTCAGAAAAGGCTTGCTGCCTCCTGGCTCAGCAGACATTCTCACTCCCCATTGATTTACACAGATGCCCACTTGAATTCATATTTTCTGTATCTGCCTTATAGCTGCAATCAGTGCTACTCTCAGAAAAGGCTTGCTGCCTCCTGGCTCAGCAGACATTCTCAATCATTCCTGTGGGCCTTCCCTGAAGCTGGCAGCTCGCCCCCTGGTGGAATGGTCTGCACCATCTCTTCTTGGCCTTAGACCTGGCCATATTTCAGCAATGGCTGCCCCATATTCACACCCAAAAGTAATAAAAATGTGTGGACAGTCCATGTCTTTGGATTTATAATTTTGTATATCAACATAGCCATCATTCTGTGGCTCCTCTACCTAACCCTGAGACATATTTTACTGCAGACCAAAGCTTTTTTTGATGGTGGTGGTACTGGGGGTTGAACCTTCACATTGACCTACATCTCCAGCCTTTTTTTTTTTTTTTTTTTTTTTTTTTAAATTTTGAGACAGAGTCTTGCTAAGTTTCCCAGGCTAAAATCAAACTTTCCATCTACTTGCCTCTCAGGCTGTTAGAACTGTAGACATATGCCACCACACCCATCTTCCCAATCTGTGTTTTGGTTTTGGTTTAGTTTGTTGTTGCTATTGTTTTGTTGTTGTTGTTTTGTTTTGTTTTGTTTGTTTGGGGTTTTTTTTTTGGTACCGGGGATCAAACTTGGGACCTGAGGCAGACGGCGGCACCACTGAGCTAAATCCCCATCTTGTTTTTTTTGTTTACATCTGCCCTAAAACATTGTTATTAAAAACAAAAAGACCAAAAAAAAAAAAGTGAAGCATTTGTAATTATAACAGTTAGAAACATTTGATTAAATTAGGTCAGATTTAGGCCACCCTTAGGAATTTGACCATCTCAATATAATCGTGGGAGCTGAGACGTTGTCCCTGACATTTTAGCCCAGTGAAGAGCCCTGCTGGAGTTCACACGAGAGGGCCTTGAGAACACCCAACAGTAGTGTGAACAAGTTAGTCCATATTAAAAACCGAGAGGTAGGAAGGGCTTCAGAGGTGAAATGGACCCATCTGTCTGTCTTTCTAGAACGACATCCACTGCCTTTGAGATGGGGGTGGGGACGAAGCATATAGGATCTTGATCACCCCTTGCTTTGTCACACTGTGCTTCCTCGTGATGGTTAAGCAAATCAGGAAGTGGACTTTCAAGCATGGCCTTCTGCCGCCGAAGAAATGTTCTGTGTTTCATAGGTCTCCCGCTTCCTGTCTCCCACTTACATTTCTCTTTAAATCTTTAAAAATATTTTTGATTGCATAATTTTAAAATTCTAAATTGCCTAATTATAACCAGCAGTTTTGCAAGCCAGATAATCAGCCTGAAAAATCCGTGTGGGGAAGACCCCATCAATTTTGTGGAACTTAATTTCCCACAGAAGGTGTTGAAAGTGTTGGAGGGTGGGGGGATGTAGTTTCTATCACTCTTGTGCGGTATTTGTTTTATTTTATTTTTGTGTTATTCTTAAAGATAGGCTTGTGAATGGCTCTGTCTCTGGTAAGATAGGCTCCCTTCCCATGCATTTTGTGGGGTGCACTTGCCTGCAGCATTTGCCTGAAGCCCAGCATATTCTCTCATCAGCTTGTGGGGTTGAGTCATCCTCCCAGCACAGCAAGAAGAAACAGGCAGCATGCCCATTGCTTGTTTATTCCTTGTTTTAATTTTCATTATTACGTTTCTCAGGAAATGCACGCCTTAGCTAACAGTTACTGGCAAAAAAGGTATTTGAGTTCTTGCCAAGATTTGGGGAAGCTGAATGAGATGCCTAGAGGAGGGTTGGCCCATCCTTTGCTTAAAGTTTTCTTTCCTTTTTTTCTTTTTTGTTTTTTTCTGTCCTTTAGCCCATGAAGAGCATCATGCTTTTGAAGGTGGACGTGGAAAACACTAATTGCACTCTGTAAAGAATTCTTTGTCCTTTGCTGATTGGTTTTGGAAACGGTCTTAACAGGAGGGAGAGTGAAGAGAAGACTTGCCGAAGCCCGGTGCTGGTCCATTTAGAGTGGGTTTCTGTGCTTGCAGATTGGGCAATTAGGACTCAAAGTGGCAGGTGGGGGGGATGATTATGTGGGTTTCTACCGTCATATTACTTGCTTTTTAAAAATATATATTTTTTAGATTTCTAAATTCTCTGTTCTATTCACTCAGATTTTTTCCCTTTAAAATTCCATATTCAGGCTAATTACTGTTTTCTACACTCCCCTTTCACTGAAGCACAAGAACTTGGTTTCCCTTTCAGTAGCTCTGTTGTACCTACTTAATGAGAATATATGCATAATCATAACAATCCAGCTTTTGAAACCACATTGTACCAGGAGGAACACTAGCTTGGTGAAACATGTCTTCTGGTTATTTGTTGTGACATATTCCTATGTGCTGTGAGCTGGGCATTGTTTTTGTTTTTTGTTTTTGTTTTTGTTTTGTCCCAGAGGAAAGAAAAACAATATTTAACCTGATTTTGCATTGACAAGGTAATACCTTTTATTTTCCTTTACAAACTGATTTTTAGTGATATAAGGAAAATAATATTTGGTTTGGCTAACAGAAAAACTATAAACACAGTTTAGAATCGGGATCAAACTCTAGGTTTTTGGATCCTCTGTGGAAGTATTTCTTACCAAGTATAGATTTGGCCTTTTTCAGCGGAAGTCTTAAGAGTAATAAATAGCAAGGGATTTCTCTAATAGAAAACTTGGTATTTCTGATTTCAAGTTTCCAAAGTTTAGATATGCTTACCCTTGCCCACTTAGAACTTCCCAAATCGATTCTAACACACTGGGTTAAGTAATCCCTCCTTCCTGCTCATTTTATGTCATTTCTCATAATCAATGGCCCCTCCAGCCTGGACAGCTTTTCCTTCCATTTCATGTAGGAGCAGGAAGTAAAATGTCATTTCCAGGATACATGTAAGCATTCGCAAGAACTCGGAATACCTCCTGTCCTTATTAATTGTTGGAACTCTTCATATACATAGTGTTATACTACCAAAGAAGTACTGGTTTTAGTAGATGGAAATGGCCACCGTCTGGAACACTGAGATCGCTCAGAATACACCATGTCCCTCCCTTGATTTTGCCAAGCTTCTGGGAACTTTTACCTGAGGAAGGGCAGAGCTATTGGAGGTGCCTTCTCCTGCTGACTTATTTTAGGAGTCACTTGGATTTGTGTGCACTTAACACATTTCTCAAGAGTGATGCCTTTAGGATGTCACTGCACCCAGGGTTTTTAATACTTCTTGCAGTGTTGACCGGTAGAGCGAAGTGGAACTGCTCCGAACCGCCTATATATGTTTGTAAAGAGAGTTCTCCTTTCAAACATTGTAAATGACTCCCAACAATATATATTTATAAGAGTTGTGCCCTTCCTTTGGTTTATTAACCATACCAACCATAATAATAATCAACCATAGTTTTTAAAATTGCTTTTTTCTAAACTTGAGTTTTTTCAGCAATTTCAAAATGAGGTCTAAGGATACAGGATTCCTTTAGCAAAAGCCTGGGACTTGTTTTTCTAAACAGTGTATATTTCTTTAAACATTCTACTTGTTTTTAAATTTTTCCTCAAGGATTTAAAACAATTATTCTGGACATGAATTGAAAATTCTTTTTGTAACATAAATATTTTTCTGGTAGATTAGAAAAAAGATATAATTGATTTAATAATTGTCATATATTTCCACAAGTAGATGAATTTTGAAGAATTTTTATTTTTGAATATTAAAGCATTTGTGATGACGTGTTCAACTTTTGCATGTATGAAGCCTTTGAAGTAAAAATAAAATGAAATAAATAGGAATATTAGGCTCATGTTAATGTTTTCTAGTTTCTATTGTTTATGATCATGGAACCTGAAAAGCTCACACAGTAGATTTTCATCCCATCGAACTTCTGTAACTATTTTTGACCCTTTGGAAAATACCAGCTGTGAGGAGGATTTAATTTGCCTCATGTCAGGAACCTATCATCTAAATTACTTGAAGAGTAGATTTTGTCAGATTTTGCTTTGGAAATTGTTTTAATTGAATATTTAGTCATAACAGACTTTGTATGAACTAAGCTGATTTAATCAGTTTTAAAACCTCTCATTATCTTCTTAGATTAAAGAAGCTAATACTCTTTGAGATAGAAGGAAATCTTTTGGGGGGCATGTGACTGTGTTAGGGCGCCCCACCCCTCGTGGCCAGTGCTGGGAAAAGTGTAAAATCCGGGTCCTTCTAGTCAAGTCCCTCCCGGGAAAGCCTTGTGGTCTCCACAAAGAGCCCTACAGATACCAAAGAGCTCGCTCACTTGTCTTGTAATTCCTCAGGGTCTGTGAGGCAGAACAAGGAAATCTGATTGAAGCCAATATGTGTCTTCTGCTCTCCAGACTGCCACATCACAAATGCTTGTTTACATTGGGAAAGTTTCTCCTGTTAAATAAGAACAAATAATTCCCTTAGAGCTCGTCCATGAAGCCTGTTGTAAGCATTTTCTGGGGTGCTGGAGTACCCCATTTTAAGATTTTTCTCCTTTACCACAGCTTTCCCTCATTTTTGAAATGACATTATAGTTTATAGCAGATGTGTACATTTAAGATAATGTTGCTATCAAATTGATGGTATAATTGACAGAGAAGAAACATGAAAAGGAAAACATGATCCATTAAACTAAGGTTAAGTTCCCTGCCCACCTTACCCTTTCTTTACTTCAGCTGGTGTCCACACTCTGCACATGGTCACAGACTTTGTTTGAAAAAAACTTTAGATGTAAATTGGGTCCAGTAGACACAATGTGCCTTCTTGTAAATAATCCTTGACTGAACTTGACTCTCCTTGAGGTCCTCAAGGTTAGCAAGCAACATAGCTTAATCTGTGAGCTGCATCCTGGCTCAGGCTTCCCTTTGGGAGAAACCTCACGTCTGCCAACCTAATCTCACCAACAAGTCACCTTTGTCAGCTCTGAACATCTTACCTAATCCCAGTCATAGTTGTGGCCACACGGTCGTGTATCTCCTGTAAGCTGCTCCTCCATCTTCCCCACTTCCTCTCAGGGACCAAAGTAGCGCTGGGTTTGGAGTCTGGGAATAACAGTGCTACCACAGGAAGTGGGCTCCGCCTTCGGGTGCGACCACTCCGGTACAGACACAGATCTGACAACACTCACAGTGAGCGCATGGTGGCGCTGCCTTCCAGCCAACAGTTCTGGACCAGCCGCAGAATCTATCCAGCTATGCTTGTGGAATTAAGATCCTATCACATGGGGCCCTTAGTTTAGCAAACTTTGATTAGAAAGTGTAAGAATTATACTAACTGATAGACATTTAGCACCCTTACACCTCATAAAAATGTTTTAAACATAGAACCCTCCAGACATGCTTTTAAATATCCTGTGCTCTCATTGTCTCTATGAGCAGTTTCAAACAAAGAATAAAACAAATGTACATACAAGAAATATGAGAAATATTTTACCAAATAGTGTGGCCAGAGATAGTCAGAATTTGATTTTTTTTTCTTTTTAGCTTTCTGAATATAGAACTCTTTTAAAAATATAAATCTACTCTTTTACCTTTCTTGTGTTATTTCTGTGATTTCACTCATAAATCAAAGTAGAGGACTGCCTGTATATTGCTTATTTCTTAAAATATTGGACTCAATTACAATTCAGAGTGGTGGCTCATGACCATAAATGGCCTGGATTCTAACCTCAGCAGCTAGGAGGGGACAGAGGGTAAAGAGGAAAAAGGAAGTGAGGAGGTGCAGAGAAAAGTCCTGGGAACATGTGCTTAGGTATAGCAACTAGATGAGCTTCCTCCTGCTGCTCTCAAGAAAAGAAATGCTCAAATAGATTCCTCACACATCTCATTGCACTCTTCTGGGCTTAGTGTCTTATGACTTTTTTACATAGGCATCAAGATTTAGAAGACTTTTTATTTATTTAACCAATTAATCCCCAAATCACCATGTTTCATGGTGCTGACCTGACTCAGTTTTAAAAACAAAACTCAGAAACTCTTAGAATATGAGAATGGAAGGAACATTTGAGATCATCTACCAGGGCTTCTTGCCCTTTAATGTACAGAAAAATTACTGGGGTGCTTACTTGTCATACATTTCTCCACCTCCCCTTGATCTTTGAGGCCTAAATATTTGCAGTCTTAGCTAGCGCCTCAGTGGCTAATGCCAGTGGTGCTCCTATCTCACTGAGAACCCCTGATGTTATCCAACCTCTGTACAACAGATGAGGAAAGACCCTCACCCCTAAGCCCTCTCACCACCCTGATGTGAATGTATAGCACCAACAATCTTGTGAAAGCTAGAGAAAACCATTATCATGAAGACTTCATAAAGGATGCTCATAAATAAGAACTTTATGGCTAGGACCACAGCAGTCATAAGTAGCCCATCTCTGGAAGTCCATAATATAAAATTTTTAATACAGAGTGGTGGCTTTTCTCTTTTATAAATACCATTTCAGCCTGTTAAGAGCAAAGAAATTAATGTTCAGAAAAGGTAGTTACTCCATATGTGCAGTAACTACTTTTCTATAATGTCTTATGGCATCTGGGGTTCAGCATCATTGAACAAGATTAAATGAATGTTATAGAGCTATAAAATTGCATGTAAAATAACGCAAAACTGTTCAGATTACTATCAAAGTAGCCTGGGAATGAATTTCCACTAAAATTAATTGTCACTTTCTAAATGTAGCTTAGCAAAGCTGTTACTAAACTAGAGGGATTCTTTAATACACAGAAGTGTCAAAAATTAAATAATCATTCCCCAAACCATATGAATGACAAGCAGAAGCCATTGTAAAGTCAATATGTTTTTGTTCATCATTGCTGCTGAAATTTAGAGTCCCATTGTATATGTGTGTGTTGAATGTGCTTTATTAGAATATCCAATAATCTAGCCTTTGGATATTCTATGCTCTGTGTCCTTCAGAAATCATGAAGAATTTGTGTTTAATGTTTTAGTTTAGCTGCTGCCTGAAAAAAGTTGTCAGATCATCTAATGCAATGCAAGATTTCCATTTTTCTCTTCTGGTACTGAAGTCAGAAATTTTTTTCTTGAACTTTTGGAACAAGTACTTCTTTGGGTTTTATTAAATGGAAAACTTTGCATTACAGAAATGAGAATGAATTAATGTGTTTGAATTTCCTATAGAAATTAATGGTACCTGTAATCTTTTTACATACAAAAAAGCAGTTTTAATAAGAGTTTAAGAAAGTAAAAAGTTTAGTTTTAGCATTTTAAGTTGGAAATATTAAAAAACTTAGAGTTTTAATAAACTTGTAGAGTTTCTGTTTTCAAATGCACTTACTTATTTTGTGAATATCCACTAAATTCTTCCCAGATTTCTGAGACTTTAATCAGGTAATGTGGTTTTTAATAATTTTATGATTTTGTTTTAAAGTTGTTAATGCTATCTTAGTATTTTTTTAATAACAAGTCACCATAATTTTTATGTATCATCATGGAGAATTTAATTTCATTGACTATTATACAAAAGACTTTCACATTAAAACTAGTGAGCACTCTTCAGCTGGAGACATCTAGCACCATTTGTCCCAAATTTCAAGTCTTATCGGTTGCCTTGAAAGTTGTTCATTCTTCAGAGCAATCTTACCTATGTAAGTTGAACCAGGTTTATTTGCCTTATGTTTTGGATCTTCTTGCCCCTGCCCCCATTTTATACCATCTGTGCCCTGTATAGTCAGGACCCTTCCACATCTGGCTACAAGCTGGTGTAATGCCCTTCCTTTTGATCTGGTTTCATCTAGTGATTTGCTCAGTATTTTTAAGGTCAGACTGAAAACTTTTCTGTTCTAGTTATTTTTGATTTTATATTGTGTGTTGTGTTTGATGTTCAGATACGTGTGAAAGTTGCTTCTATAAGTCAGTAATTTTTATTCCAGCCTTTTGCAGCAGTAAGGTAAGACTAGTCTGTACTTTTCTTACTTGAGAATGTTGTGATTTATGTGTTTAGTGCAAATGTTAATTTGTTCAAAAGTTCTTGCAGTTTTCTAATCTATTGCTATGAATTGTGCTCCTTCCCTTGGCAAGTTACATTTTTATGGAGTGTGTTTAAGTGTTATTAAAATTTGTTGAACTTTATTTTGAGATCTTTCCTAATCTCTTGTCACTAATTCTCACTCTATATTTGGGGTTTTTGTACTATAGAAATATCCTTTTCATCTGCCATTTTGAAAATTCCTGTAGTTTTGGCAGCTACATTGTGTAATCTTAGTTAGGTTACGTGTATGTATGTGGTGATCATCATAACCCTGCTTATTCAAGCACAAACTGGAACTTTCTCCCCAACAGCTCAAGTGCATCGGGGCTCCTAGCACTGTGTTTAACAATCTCTGCAGTACCCTGATAAGAACAACTATTTCTATTTTGAACTTCCCTAAGGAACATAACCATAGGTCTCATCTTTGTCTCTCTCTCTCTCTTTTTTTTTAAGAAACAAATTTTTATTTAAGAAGCTTAATGCAATAAAAAACTGATTTATTTTGTCAGGAAATTGACAGTATGCAATTATTCACCACAGAGAGGTTTTTTTGTTTTGTTTTGTTTTGTTTTTTCACACCAGTGAGAAAATTCTGAAACAATTTGTTTCCAGAAAAAACATTCTAAGGTTGGCATTAAGTTTATCTTCACAATCAGTCTCCTACAGTAGACATAATTTTACTATTTCCATTTTATATCTGAAGAAACTGAGGCTCAGAAATTAAACAGTTTGCCTGACAGTATCAGTGGCATAGCC